TTGAAGACAAAATTGTTAGATACATTGTCTTCTGAACTTCATACCGCCACACTTTCGAGAGATTGTAGTAAATATAAGAAGTTTTGTAATTGGTTGTTGAACTTGCAGAATGCCCTGACAGATTTCAGTAGCAAACCAAGTTTCCAAACGAAATCAACATTGGTCTTAAGTATGATTCTCCTTACTGCTAATGTCTTGACTCATTCTAATCCATAGATCATGAAGTTATAAAAATTCTTATTATTGTTTTAATAACTTTTTTCTTATTTTTATCACTATCTACCAGCAGTTATTCATATCTTTACGATATTTAGCAGCAGCAACAGCCGTACATGAACACTATGCAGGGTCCACAGCAACCACAGTCGATATACGCTCCTGCTTCCTACCAGTTTCAACCGCAGTTCGGCCAGTTCCAGCAGCCGGTGCAAACGCAGCCGAACTACGGCTATTCTGCGCCGCAATCCGCAGGTATGCCAGTACAGAGTCAAGTCGGTCTGCCGCCACAGGCTGGCGGAGGTGCCTACATTCAGAGTCCTCAACCTCATTCGGCGACGACCGTTATGCCAACAGTTCAGTCAAACGACGCCCAAAACTTGTCACAGATCGAACGCGTAAGCTTCAAATGCAATTTTGCGAAGTTTTAATACTGATAGTTTGTTTTTGTAGGCCATCGGCGAGATGGAGCAAAAAGGCATGACCGGTGACCCGCGTTATGGACATCTGATCGCCCTGGCGAATAAGCTGAAAAGTATATCTACAGTTTTCACTTTTGTTAAATACAACGATGATAAAAGCGCATATATATGAGAATAGTGCATGAGCTGTTTATGCGGTCGATGACATTATGTTTGTCCGGTAAGTCACCGGATATCGTTCTATCCCGTTTATTTTTTTCAGTCTCTTCGCGCCATAGACTAATAGACCTTTCACCACTCTTTTAGATGTTGTGTCATTTCCTTCCACCGTTGATCATGACAACTTCGTCATGGCATCGTTCCAGTGTGTTGGTGGACAATCAAATGAACATCTGTTGCTGAGAGAGATCGAGTTGGTAA